TTGAATGCCAGGGGATAGCGGAAAGCAACGCATAACCCGTTCCCCGAGAGCTTGAGTAAATGGATAGTGGAACGAGGTTTAAGAGAGATAGCGAAAAGACAAAATGTATTAAAAGATACAACTGGCAGGAAATTGTGGAGAGCCATGATCGCTAATACCTTGAAGTGACACGGCATAAAGAAGATTATCAAATAAAAGAATACATAGAATCGTATTCATAAGTGATAGCCATTTCATTTTAAGTGGCTACCTAATATTCTTGTACTGTCTTCGTAGGAGAAATGATTTTGGAAGTTAAAAACCGCTTTCTGCATTCTAGAATTTTAGCAGCTGAAGAAAAACAAAATAAACGAAAAAATATAGAAAATAATGCACACACGCTATATATATATATATATATATATATATATATATATATATATATTTGTATGTATGAGCGCAAAAATTAATCATGCAACACAAACGAGACAAAAATATTAAATAAAAAAATGCTTGTTTGCTAATTCCATAATCATCTTTACAGCTTTTGTTCTTTCCTTGCCATCAATTTTCTCCACCGGAATGGAAGAAAATTAGCTTGTTATATTTTCAGCTGGTAAAGTCGGTACCCGAGGTAAGAAGACAATCATGCTGGCAAATGATCTCGCGCTGGCACTTCTCACTGGTCTCCAGCTGGAACTCAAAATATCTCTTGTTGTGTGTGTGTGTGTGTGTGTGTGTGTGTGTGAGTGAGAGAGAGAGATAGAAAGAGAGTATATGAGGTGTAGACTACGTTGCACCCAAACAAATTTGGACAACGGTTTGATTTCTTTTACGACTTGGCAAGGGTTCTTTTCTAACTCTAGATTTCCATTTGGCTTTAGTAAAGAATGTTTACAGATTTCAATCACCAAACCATTGTTCTGCAAACTTAAACAAACTTTCTGTAGTTTTCTATAGTTATTTGTGACATTGTTGTATATTTTTCACAAAATCAATGACATCCCGCAAGTCAATGCAAGCGAGGTAAAGTCAAGTAAATGGAGTATTCAGTAAAGGATTGAACACGCCATTCCCTGCACTCCAAAGAATGCTCCGCCGGTTTAAATTTCCGCGGAACCGGCCGACGAGATATCTCGCGTGAAGTGTCATATATATATATATATATATATATATGGGGAGGTAATGCCCATAAAAAGCGATACCTAAGTTTTAAAATGCATTTAAAAAAATTTAAATCTTTTACAGTTTTGATTTCAAGATAATAGATTAAATTTAATATTGACAACAAGAAAAACACTTTGCTGTATTTCAGAACCGAATTTAAATTGATTGGAATGATTTTTCTGATTATCAATACTGACAAATCTGTCAACACAACATAATTCTCTTCATTAACATTTTTTTAAAAAATGGAATATAATTTTCTGAAACACTATTTGAGAAAAAATAGCTGATTTAAAGTTTAATTAATCTAAAAATTTTGTTTTTTATGTTGCGTCAGCGGGTGACCATAAATTAGTATGGGAAATTTAGCGTGTTTTTGCGGTGAACAACACATCGATTTGATAATTCTTGCAAAAATTATTAATTGTTGGATTTTAATGAAACATTCAGGACCGATTCACAAATAAAGTAAATTATTTCGAAAATGTTTCTTTTATAAAAAAATCTTAGTAACATTTTTTTTTTTTTTTTACATCTGTTACACCTCACAGATAATTTTATGAAATTTCGAAAAATTCATTTTTGTAGCGCTTAATGTTTATATTAGTTATAAGCACAGGTCTTTGGAGAATTTAAATCATCAATTTTTTTTTTGGTAAAACAGTTATCCCTAGTTACAGAAAATCTGCTCTGAATCGTAAAATAAAAAAAATGCAATAAAAGTAAGACATTATTTATTTACAAAAGGTTTTAATTGCTTTTATGAATAAAGTATCTATTGTCTTTCGAGAATAAACATTTTTCGATGAATAATGATTTTTTTTACAAGAATTGTTTTCACTCTTTTCGAATTTTAATTAGAATAATTTATAAACTTTTAAATCTTTTACATTTCTGTCCTAATTTGTAGCGTGACATTATTATTAAATAAAAACTATATTTACTAATCATAAGTTAAAAACTTACTATATAATTCAACGAATTTTTTTAAAAAGAGTTTTGAATTTATTTTTTTATTAAATATGTCGATTATTGTAAATACGGGCGTCTATACACGATATCAGAAAATAAGAGCGGAGACTATTAGTAAATTTAAAATTTATTGGTAATTTTCTAATATTTCCCCGAAAAGCGTCTTCTTAATTAAGACTTTAAAGTCAAAGTACCAAAAAATTAAAAAAATATTAGAATGCTTAAGATATTTTAAAAATTAGTATTACTGGGTACTTAAAAAATTATAACTATAAATTATGTCAACACTTCATAAAAGCACCCACTTATAGTAGAAAATGCTCTTCTGAAATATTTTAAACTAGGAAATATTTATTTTAATTTAGATTAATTAAACTTTAGATAAAATAATCTTTCTCAAATAGTTTCAGAAAAGTATATTTTATTTTTGAAAGATTTTTTTATAAAGAAAATTATGCTGTGATGACAGATTCGCTAAAATTGTTGATTTTTAGCAATTAAAAAAATCATTCCAATCAATTTAAATTCGAATTTAAATACAGTAAAGTATTTTGCTTATTGAAAATATTAAATTTAATCAATAGCTTGAAATTAAAAAATAAAACGAAAGCTACAAGAAAGGCCTTTTCATTTTAAAAAAATGTATTTAAAATCTTTGGTATCGCTTTTCTTTGGAGGTACCCATACATACATAGATAGACTGAATTTAGGTGAAAAGTCACAGCCAGTTTTTACCTGTCAGAATTATGAATAAAAAGATTTTTAATTCAGGAGAATGAGTTCAGATGACAAACTCAAATGATTTTTGTTTAAATAAAATGCTCTTCCCCGAAAATGACATATCTCTCTTTTTTTTTTTTTTCGAAGCGCACTGAAAGGTTATGAAACAGCGATCTTTTAAATTTGTTTTTGCATTCGTCTTATTTATTTTGGCAATAAATATCGAGATAAATTTAGCAAACAATTTAATAAACTCGGGTCATAATCTCTATTCAATAAAGACGTATTAATCTCCCGAAATTTGTTTTAAACTGGAAGATTCAACAATATGACAGCCAACTGCAGCAGCCATTGTCATCTTAAAAAAACCTTTCATCCTCAGAAGGCTGTTAGCAGATGATAATATTTTATTAAAACATATCATTCAGACATTGTGAATATTGAAGTTATTGAATTTAGACATTGTTTCATTGACGTTGTGCTGATGATTCGTACGTATCAAAGTATTGAGATTCATGCCTTCCCCAGTTGATTTTTTGACTACATTTTTAGTTTCGAATGACAGCACCTCGACCCCAATTGTATGACAACCATTAGAAGACACTCGATTGTGTCTTATCGTCAAACAAATCTTTTACAAGTGGTTAGTCTTCGAAATGATCAGGCCAGTTGACTATTTTGAAAAACAAAATAATAGTTCAAGAGAGAAAAAAAAACATCAGAATTTTATCTGTTTCCTTCTTAGGGGTTTTCACACATCAACAAAAAAGAAATCAAAGAAATAAAACAACGATTAAAAAAGTCTTTTGAAAAATGAAATTCCATCGAGAATAGTTAGGAATAAGTAGCTACAAGGGTAGAAGTCAGTGTCACATACATCTCACAATCTGAAGGCTTTAGGCTCTATTCTCGGCGAGAAAGCAGAATGAAAGCATTGATACCCAGTCGAATACTTGTAAAATCTGCAATATTTATGCATATTGATCCACTATTACGGCAATGGATTTGTTTGCGACAAAATTTTGCAAAGCTTGATCTGCCTCGACGTTGAAGTTATTTTCTTGTTAAATGTTTTTGAAAGAAGTGGAAATACAATGTCAATTGCTATGTTCTCTTGCCAGTCATCACACATTGGATTATGATAGACTGAAGAATCGTTGCCATATCAATTGTCAGTTAAGACATATGAAACCCAATAATTAAATATCACTCAAAAGTAGAGGGCAGGCCCTACTTTCTAAAATGTTTGGAGAGAGAGAGAGAGAGAATTGTTTTGTATAATAAAATAAAAAAATGGTATCCAATCAGAATAAATCTCGCTTCCAACTAGTCAATCGTTCTGAGCATAAATAATAAAAAAAAAAAACATGTATTTATTTATGTAGCTTAATCATACAACTATGGGCTGGTAAATGCAAAGTTTACGTTTAACTGCTGATTTGGTCAACTTTATTATCTCATTGTGGAATAACCTCAGACTCCCCTCCCCTCCACACACACACACACACCATTAATTACCGATTCACAGGATGGGTACTAAGGGTTAAAAGTTGAATGTTTGAAACAAAGAGTTTTACTTTTCGATTTTTTTTCCAAAATGGGGGGTGCCGCCGCCGCTACCTTTATGGCACTCTTAATGCGTTTTGTTTTGTTTTGTTAGTTTTAGTTCGTATTTTGTTATGCTCATCTGACTTCTGATAGCTTCCTGTATTTTTTTCTTCTTTCGTTTACAAACGTTGAGTACTATGAAACTAGCAGCAAGTCGTAAAGATGGCGAATTGACGCGGATTTAAACGACACACTTGATCGTTATTTGGGTTCGAGTGAACCGCGTAGTGCATGCGTCTCATGATCTTTGTGTATATGAGTTGGGGAGAATGTGTGTGAACGTTATGCGTTCCTAATATATTGCATGACTGTGTATTGCGTATATGTAAATTTGAGTCATCGTGTAGACGTCTAAAAAAGATGTATGTGGTACTTTTACTACTACGAGTGTGAGTGTGTATTATTACTGCGACAGGTCTTTTTAAAAATATCATTAGTGCTTGGAAAAACTCGAGTCGTGTTCTATCGTTTCAACTAACGAACAGGTGCTTCAATCAGCGGACACTTTTAAAAGGTCTCAGGTGGGAATGGAGAGACGAAAATAAAACGCTGTCTCATATATACATGTGTAGATAAAGTGTAGAAGCCAACGAGGTAGAAATACAGTAAGAGTCAAAAATGAAAGAACGAAAAGAGCGATGGGAGGAGGACACGCGATAGAGAAAAAGGATGAATGTTTGAAAAAGAAAGAGAAGGAAAGAAAGAAGATTGAAGATACAAATGGTGAATGAATCTAGAGGAGAAAGAATAAAGAGCGAGTTACAAAATGATGAGAGAGAGAGAGGAAACGACGTGCAACAGAACGAGAAGAAAACTCTGAAGAATGGAAAGCGACATCATTATTGTGATGATTATCTTTGTAGAGTGACAATCATTTGCCGAAATGATCAACTCGTGAGCCTTGAATTAGCTGCAAACAAGAAAGTGTCAAAGTGAAACGCCGTCGTGAGCGTGCTCTCCTAGAGATGACTGTGATGCGGGGGAGTCGGGATGGAAGGGTGGGGCCAGCGGTGGCAATACAAAGCAAAAGGTGTGTTCTTCTTTGCGGAGGCAAACTTTGTCATCAATTACGGGAAATCGACTATCGAATATAACCATCGATAATTGGCTGAAGAAAAACGTTCTACCTTTTTCTTTGTCTTTTTTTTTTCGCACCCCTTCTCCTCGCATTTTGCCCCGAGAGGGTTGAAGGCGAGAGAGGAGCGAGCGGAGTGGTTCTGGTCGGCAAATGGCAATAAGGAGACAAGCTACCGAACCCCTTTCGCTCAAGTCAGGTAAAATTGAGATGAGGGATAGGAGATGTAACTGCAGACACCCTCCACGCAACAAATAGGGTATATTCATTCCAAATTACTATTTATCTAGAAGACATCTTGTCGACATCTTCTTCATCTAGCCCGTGGGAGCGGGGAAATAGTTATTGCGGAGGCTGGAAATCGAAGGGAAACAATTTGAAGATGTAAAGAAAAAGCATTAGGTAAAAGTGATCTCGTTTTATATATATATATATATATATATATTGCTTCACTGTTTCATGTGAGGCATTTTTTCTCTCCGGAATTTATCTTGCATACATATAAGTCTACCATTCGTCCATGCTTAGAATATTGCTGTCTCATAGGGTCTGGTGCCCTTGCTATTTACTTTTAGCAGCTTGATAAAATCCAAAGAAGAATCAGCTATATTATTGGTCCTGATCTGGCGGCTCGGCTTGTCACTTTCCTACTACCGTAAGGCTATCTCTCTGTGCCTTTTCTAGAAATTCTTTCATGGTAATTGTTTCGATGAACTATTCGCTACGGTACCTTGACGTGTTGAATTTAAGCGCAGTACTATACTGGCGGTGAGATCTCATCAATTTACAGTTGAGCTGGTTAGATGTAACTGTAAGTTCTATGCTAACAGTTTCTTTTCTCGCTTGTGGAACTGACTTCCTGCGCCATGCTTTCTAGCCAACTTTGTTGTGCCCATAGCTTGTTGGGTTGCAGTGCAAAGTCGACATTTTTTAACAAGTATGTAAGAAAGGATAATGGAATGAGTGATGTACAACATAACAGGTTTATTCATCAACTGAACATATAACAGAAAAAAATGCAGGAAGTATAAAATTAACTCTTTTTAGAGAGTTCCTTAGAAAGGGAGATAACTGTTTCCACATTTTACTCTAATATCCCCACTTTAAATTTGGGATAGAAGTAATTTTGGTACCAATAACTGTAACTTGGTCTTTGACAGAGTTTATGAAAATGTCTGTAATATTCTCATCTGTCAGTACATATTTTAAGTTTATGGTATCATTGTCAATTTTAGTTCTTATGAAGTGATATTTTATATCAACCTGTTTAGTCCTTTGACTTGTGATAGGGTCCTTTGCAATACATATTGCGTTTTGATTGTCTGAGTATAGATTTGTTGATTTTATCGATTTGTCAATACTCATTTCATTCAGCAAATGGATTAGGAATGGTCATTCTTGAATAGCTGGTGTCATAGCTACATATTCTGCTTCACATGTCGATAAGGCTATAGTAGGCTATTTTTTTTATTTTTCCAAGATATAACAGGTCCTTCTTCACATAGAGAATAACAATAGCCTGAGGTGCTTTTTCTATCCTCAGAGCTTTCCCAATCTGCATCAGTAAATCTTATGAGTTGTAATTTACCTTTGCATTTAAAAAAAAAAAACAACTTGTGCTCCATGGTTCCTTTTACATACCTCAGCACACGTTTCACTGCATTCTTGTGTTCAAAGCCAGGATTTTGGTTGTGCTGTGTTAATTTGTTGATAATCCATGTAATATCTGGTCATATGCATGTTGTCAAATAACTTCCTATGGTTTTTCTATACTTTCTTGTATCAAAAGGTTTAGTGTCCTTAGAGAAATTTAATTTTGGTTCACTAGGTGTTATTCTGGGTTTGCAATTAGTCATGTCGAAATTTGCTAATATTTTCTCAATATATGCATGTTCATTCATTCTGACTTCACCTGGTTTTGACTATGACGTCTATTCCAAGAAATCGTGATATTTCTCCTAAATCTCTAAATTTTGTGAAAGTTTAGTTTTTACATTATTCCACATTGTTGAGTCATTTGAAGATATTAGAATGCCATCAAACCCATACTAAAAGTATTTCTTGCTTGTCTTTATTTTTCACAAACATACAAGGATCGATGATGCTTTGCTTGGAATTTTCTTTAACAAGTTCTTGACTTAATAATTCATTCCAGTTCTTTCCACTTTGTTTTAGTCCATCCAGTGATTTATTCAATTTGTAGACTATTTTTTCTTTCTCATTTCATATCCTTCTGTTTATTCTATGTAAATTTCACAATCAATTTTTGCATTAAGGTATGCAAACTTAACATCCATTTGGTGGACTATTTTGTACAACCTATTCCATAAAAGTTCTGATTGTAATCACTTTAGTAGGAGGTGTGTATGTTTCACAGTAGTCTAAGTCCTTGACTTGACTAAATCCTTTAGCAACATATCTTGCTTTATAGTCCATTGTGTTGTTGGTATTTTCCTTAATGGTATACACCCAGCTACCACCAACTACAGTTTTACCAATGGGTAAGGTTTCTATGGTATAGATATTGTTTTTCTTTAAGGATTTAATTAATTTCTTTGTCCATTGCCTTTTTCCATTCTTGTGATTTAGAGGAATTTATGGCTTCAGTATAGGTTTGAGGAATAGCCATTATTTTATGATAAGGAAAAAGGCAATGGACAAAGAAATTAATTAAATCCTTAAAGAAAACAATATCTATACCACAGAAACCTTACCCATTGGTAAAAATGTAGTTGGTGGTAGCTGGGTGTATACCATTAAGGAAAATACCAACAACACAATGGACTATAAAGCAAGATATGTTGCTAAAGGATTTAGTCAAGTCAAGGACTTAGACTACCATGAAACATTAAGATATGCAGAATCATGTTCACTCAACTCCTTACCAATAGTGTATTCCTTTAGATAATCTGGCATTCTGATCAGATATCTAGAATGTCTATCATTTCCAGCATTAGAAATTTCTTCACATTGTGGTGTGATTTCTCTATCAGTCTAATCATTACGTTCATTTGTAGATACATTAGATTAGTTTTTTTTTCTTCTATGGGTTCGTTATGATTTATCCAAGGTTGAAATTCTTTTTCAAAATTATTTTCCATTTCATCAATAACAAATCTATTTGTGACAGTAACAAATCTAATTTTCCTGATAAGAGCCTTTAATGTTCAAGGTAGACAAATTATCTAGACGAATACACTTGTCATATCCCACAAAAATTCTTTTTTCTGATCTGGGATCAAGTTTCCTTCTTATCTTGGACATATGCATAGCAAATAGTTCCAAAGATGTTCATATTTTGAATATTTGGTTCTTTACCGGTAAATACTTCCTATGGAGTTGGTTTTAGTTAAGAGACTTGAATTCTTTTGAAATGAATTCAGACCTATTGTCACTTCTCAGTTTTTTAATTTTTCCAAAAAGGTGCACAGTCAGCCAAGAATTGTTTAGTGGCTTCTACTGTAATACTTTTATATTTAAGAAAAGACAACATTTTACATCCAGAATAATCATCTGTAAAGATCAAAACATCCCTGCTAGTCGGTTCTACTCTGCCAGCTAAATAACAATGTACAAGTTCTAAGGGTAATTTTGCTTTGTCATCAGGCTCCCATGATATGAATTCAAGCATTTTACATAGAGTACATATTTCACATGGTGACAAAGATGTGTTATCTGTGATGTCCGTTCCTTTCACAGCACTTGATAGATTTAAAATGTCCAGAATATTACAGTAACCTAATATTTTAGGCCACGTTTTGAGATTTTGTTTGGCTTGTTTTGTGTGTCCTATTACACATGTATTTAAGTAATATAGTTGACCATGTTTCTTTATATTAAACTTGAATCCATTTCTGGTGCTTAGTTAAGCTGAGTTTTGTGAAAATTTTCCCCTTTTCAGAGGCAGCTTATACAGAAAAGGTATTGTGATTAAAGCTTGGAACGTTACTTAAATACATTAATTTAACAGTACCCTTTTTCAGGGCAATATTATTATTTCTTGATCCATTTGCAAATTCAATAAAATGTTCATTTGGATTGAAATTGTCTTCAAATTTTATAAGTTTGCATTCATCGTTTATGATATGTGTGGTCACTCCAATAATCAGCAAGTAATTAAAAATTAACTGCTTTAATATTTGGATATATTCTTACCTTGTAATAAAAGCTCACATTTTCTCTAACCTTGTTAATATTGTCTCTTTTTCTTCTACAAAATTTTGTGTCATGTGTTTTTGATTCACAAAATTTACACCATCTTCTGTTTTGTAGGCAGTCTTTTGCCACGTGGCCATTTTTGTTGCATTTGAAGCACATGGTGACTGGTTTTGACTTGTATTTCCTTATAGAGGTCCTCACTTTTGTTGAACGCACTTAAGGAAGTTTTAAATTTCAGTAGAGTTGATTGGTTGTCCTTTTGCATTATTACAGTTTTAAATGTATTGAAACATGCTAGAAGGCCTTTAAGTAGCATTGCTATCAACAGTGAATCTGGAATTACTTTGCCAGAATTTATTAAGGCTGCTGCTGCTTTACGAGCATGAAGTATCTAGTCGCCCTGCACTTTTGTTAGTGTTGATAATTCTGTATATAATGCAATTATTTTAGTTTTTCCTTGACCCATGTAGTGTTCTCTTAAAATTTGTATTGCTTTTTGTCATTGTCTTTTGCATGTCTCATCACTAATGTTACACCCCTCTCGTCGAGTATTTGAATCAACTCAGCAAAAATGTCTTCATTCTTTTCCACATCCATGTCCTCTTTCTTGATTTTTTAATTTCAATGTGGAGGTACCCCATAAATTTTACTTCCCACAATTCATAGTTCTTTTCATTTCCATCAAATAATATGTTCCGTGTTCTGGTCCCATAACCTGTTGAGTTGTGCCCATAGCTTGTTGGGTTGAAGTGGTAAGTCAACATATTTTAATAACAAGAAGTATGTATGAAAAGAGAAAGGAACAAGAGATGTACAATGTAACAGGTATATTCATCAACTGAACATACAACAGAAAAAATACAGGAAGTATAAAATTAACCCTTTTTTTTTTTTGAGAGTTCCTTAGAAAGGGAGATAACTGTATCCACATTGTACTCTAACAAACTTTAATCTGCAAACATTTAAATGTGATGTCAATTGCTATCTACTCTCCTCCTGATTACTCTTTTCTCTTTCTGCTCATTATTAATGTTTCTGTTCCTAATTCTTCCACACACTGTAACCACTTGTATCTTAGTGGCTTTACAACAACATCACAACTGGGTGGCTTGATTAAAGAAATTGAACCATCTGACAACTACCTAACACAAGTGAAAATCTTTTCCTAGATTGACTCTCACGCAACATTTATACAAATATGTATATAGAAAGATACATTACACATTTTTTTGCTAAGATAAAATGTTATTCTTTATATTAAGCATATAACAACGGAGAAAATAATCTTTAATAATAAGGCTTACATATGGTAAACAATAATAGTTGTACATTCTTGAGAGATAAAAATTGATTTATAATCTTCACAGAGTTCAGCAGACAATGATGAAGAGAAAGCCATTGCAACAAGTATTTCTCTTGTACAGCCATTTGAAGTATCAGCACTTTTAAATTTGGCAAGGAAGAAGAAAGAAAAAAACGAACAACTTTTTCATTAAAGAGAAACATGTAAGAATAATGGAATTTTATAAATGAATAAAACCAAAACTAGTTCTGCTGCTCACTAAGTCATTGTCATGAATTTATATCCTGCAAATTTCATTTGTTAGAGTCTAACATGTTTTTACTATATGCACAAGTTTAAAGAATACGGTTTTATTGATAATGTATTTTGGAGAAGGACTAACATTACTATCAGTTATTGTGAATGAAATCCAATCTTATCTAATAACACAATGTTTTTCTATTTTTGTTTTTTCCTAAAATTAATTGACACAATATCTGCCCATCTGAGGAATTAGCAGTTCTTCAATCATGCATATTAACAACACACTTGGCTTAGAAGTTGGATTTCAAAGCCAACTCTAATGATGATGGTGTATCAATTTAATGAAAGCCATAAATGTTGGGCTTCCTTTTGTCATATCAAACCAAAAAGTTTTGTTTCATTGTTGTCCATTGTTAATAAAAACAAAGCTTATTTCACAATTACTAATTATTTAACACAGACACACTGAATACAATTAAGTTTTAAAATACGGCAATTGTATACATTTATAGACATCAGATTGGAGTTTCAGACCCTTTCTCTCAAACAGAAAAAGTTGATTTAAAAAAAAAAAAAAAAAAGAAAGAAAAGAAAACGTTCCCCGGTTGTTTACTTTTGCTCCATTTTGCCTTCTGACATTGTCATTGCTGGTTGTTTTTTCTGCCTCTTTTTTATTTTTATTAACATGGTCAGGTATCAGGGCAATTCTTGTGTTCCTTCTGGTATCAACTAATTTTAGAGAAACAAAATCATAGAAGACAGTATATATAAAAAAAAAAAGAAACTTCTTTCTTATTGGTTGTGTGTGTAGCTGCTCAATGATAGCCTGCTAAGAGCAAAATCTCAAAACTGAAATGAAAAAGAACTCGGGAAATATCTACAACACCTTTTTGCTTTCTCACAGAATTTGAAACATTTCCCCACATTTTTTTTTAAAGTTATTATTTAATTTTTAACATTTGCACAATTTTTCTTCTGCTTAACCTGCCATTCTCAAGATGGCTGCTCAGCCAAGAAAAATGTTTTAAGCTCATATCTCAAAATGAAAGAGAAAAAAAATGTGATTATTAGTGACTTTGCTGGAGAGTAAAAATGTTACTTTTGAAAGAGTTAAATTGCTTGAGGTAAAGATGAGGGCCAGATGAAGACAGGCTTGACAATTGGAAAATATTTTGACAAGTTTAAAAAACTTGAAAGAATATTTCATCAAAGACAAAAAAAAAACTTTCAGGTAAATAAAGACAAACAGAATTTCAGTTGTTCAGATAAGGAAAAAAATTGGCAGCTGGCACTAAATGGACCTCATTCTAGCAGGATAACACGCTTATGTTGAAAACCATTTAATGAGCATCTTGAGATTGAACATCTTCGAAAATGATGACCAAGTTGCTTAACATAGGTCTATTCAGCAATACAATGTGGTTCCCCATTAACTTGTCTTTGTGCTAGCCTATGTTAAGCTTACTAAATAAATACAGAATGAAATTTTTCCTATTAGCAGTTACTGTTTTGTAAGAGGCATACAAGAGTCAATAATCAATTATTCAAATGATGTCATGAAAGTCTCACACATTTTCACACTCAAAATCCTCAAAATTAGATTATGGGTCAAGAGTAAAGAAATTCTTCATTGTTGACATTTGAAAGAAAGAAAATCTGTATTCCTCCTTTCTCATTTGTAAGCATTAAAATATTTAAACAAATAATTTCTTAACATAATAGCATAATTGTCATATATGGTAATGACCTGAAGATTGCATTCAAGCATAGATCAGACTGTTGCCACTTGCTGTTGACCTCCATCTCTCTCTCTCTCTCTCTATATATATATATATATATATATTCAGTAAATTAAGAAAAATTCAAGTGATTTATCTGGTTAGCTGATTTAAGAATTCCATACACACATATATATATATATATATATATATAAAATGATAAAATATAGTTTTAAGGTATGCTATATTTATGGGTTAAAGTGCTCAATATCAGAGATAGAGCATATGTAAATATATGCAAACACTGAGAAGCAACAGTCTGTTTCATGCTAAATGCAATTGTCAGGCCTGAAACAGATTGTTGCCTCTCAGTGTTGACTTCAATGTCAACTTTTTATATATATATATATATATATATATATATATTATACATATATATATTATACACATTAAATCTTGGTAGTTGAATAAATATCCTTTTTTTTCTCAAATGA